CACTTGCCTCGATGGATACAGCTCCAACAACACTTAAGAAACTTGACACCTTGCAGGACAAAGCAACCCATTTGCCATGCCACTGCCTTCTTATATCATGGGGACTCATCAGAAGACACCACCAAAATGCTTTGTGCCAAAGGCAATGAATTTGGCCTGTTTTAAAAAAATTTCGATGGTGGTTAAATATATCCTTATAGAATTGATTAATTGAATAAAACACAACACATTGATTTAATTCGAATGACTGGAGTGATTTTCTTCCCACATTTCAAGATAGCAACCACCTACACCAACCTTCATAGAATCATGGAATCCCTACAGTGTCGAAGCAGGCCATTCAACCCAGCGTGTCCACACCTAGACCCACTCCCCCCTACCCTATCCCTGTAACCCTGCATTTCTCATGGCTAATCCCCCTAGCTTGCACATCCCTGAACACTAACGGGCAATTTAGCATGGCCAATACAACTAACCTGCACACCTTTGGACTGTGGAAGGAAACTGGAGCACCCGGAGGAAACCCACACAGACACCAGGAGAATGTACAAACTCCCCACAAACTGTCACCCAAAGCTGGAATCGAACCCGAGTCCCTGGCACTGAGAGGCAGCAGTGCTAAACACTGAGCCACTGTGTAGCACTGACTCTACTGCTGGCATTCTATACTTGGCATATAAGTTGTCCCCAGTTTTTGAAACTATTTGTCAAGGCTTCAGAATTTGAATTATAGACTGCAATCTACAATCATGGACTGGAATAACCTGCTCTATCCCTGCCCCTGAGATGGCTCCACAAAATTGACAACAACAGTTAGGGCAAAGCGTGGATGACATGAAGAAAAAAAAATAAGATAGTGCAGGCTTTTTGGTGTGAGCGGTAAAGCAGGAATGTTCCATATCCTTTATCCAGGGAGACAAAGCTAGTTGTGTTTTGCTGAGTGGTGAAATGCGATAGCATATTTTTTTTCAAAGTGCATGACAATCAGGATGTGCAAGCAATACAGAGAATGGAACTTTTCAGATTTTCTGTATTTTCAGCTCTTTGTTGAGTAAAACAAAGGGTGTATTACATCCTGCACTTCTCAATCTGAAATAGCTACTGTAACATGTTGAACAATACAGTCTATTTTACACTCCACAGATTGGGTACCATTTTATCTGCTCACTCTTGAAATCTTATCCATAGCATTGAGTAAACCAAATGAATGACCAGAATGGATACTGAAGGCAGCAAAATTAGCTTCTCACGTATAAAATAAGCACTTGCTGCTGGTGGAAGGTAAAGCAAACATGCTTTGTAACATCAGAAAAAAGAGTACCATTATGAGGGCTAGGCAGTATGACTCAAATTCACCAAAAACAAACTTCACAGATTGTTCAATGAAACCCTGTTCCAAATGCCCAAATTAGGAAGAATAGAGGAATATACCGCATTTTAATGACTCACTCACTTCCATCGGGTGTGTCCATAAAGAGCCTCTTGCAATTTAATCGCTTCAGGTGGAATGACTAAATAGTACAATCCCTTTCAGATCCAGCACAGGGTCTAACAGATATTATACATGGACCCCCAAGTCACCTACATCTTAAACTGACTGGATCATAGCAGTGGATATCCCCCTCGAAAACTGGATAAAGTATAACTACAGATATCTCCCTCCCAGACTGAGGGGAGTATAGTCTTTCAATGGCATATAGCTGTGATATCCCCAATCTCAGATTTTCACGTGTTACAGCAAAATGAATTTGTTTCCCACACCATGCATGTAGAATTCTAACGGTATATCTACAAATTGTTTTTGTGTGTCTTCTTTAGATAGCAATTTTCTTAAAGAGTTAAAAAGGAGCTTTGAAAAAATGGTGAGATCATGCAATTTTTTGCTGTAATTTATTGCTGAACCTGTAACATAAAAAATAAAATTAAGAATTAGATAGTTGCTTGAAAAAGTAGGTTGTCTGAAGGGAAAGTGAGTGAGAAGTGTGGGATTACATTAGATGGCTTCTGTGGATAAAAACACTGGAAAATATTTAATACTGCAATGGCCTCTCCTTAAACTTCTCTGTCCTGTTTTCTCCCCCAACACCTTCAACAAGTGCCAAGAGTCTATGATAACACAGTGTGGAGCTGGAGGAACACAGCAGGCCAGGTAGCATCAGAGGAGCAGGAAAGTTGACGTTTCGGGTTGGGGCCCTTCTTCTCTGATTCCAGCATCTACAGTTCTTGCTGTCCCAGAGTCTATGGACTTCTTTTGCTACTAAGATCAAGACCATCTGCTCACCAGCCTCTGGCATTTCACTCTCTTCTACTTGCCCACTGCTTCAAAATTCCCTTAGATCCAAGGTTTCCAAACTATGGGATGTGACTCCCTAAAGGGCAACGGCAACAATATCTGACTGGAGACGCAGTGAGATTCTGGGATTGGCTTTGAGGACCCTTGACAGACTAGGGCCCAATTTTTGTTATGCCTTGGTCTGGTGGACAAGGCTGAATGAAATCAGTGCTGCGGCCTGGTGGCTGTCTCTGAAGAAGCTTACAAAACAGTATGTGAAATATGTCTGTTGTTTGTAAAATGTTAGAGCTGATGATAAATAATTTAATAGCAGAGCATTTAGAAATATATAACATGATCAAACAGAGTCAGCATGACTTCATGAAGGACAAATCATGCCTGACAAATTTACTACAATTCTTTGGGGAAGTAACAAGCAGGATAGATTAAGGGGAAGCAGTGAATGTAATATTTTTGGATTTTCAGAAGGTATTTGATAAGGTACCATGCATTTAGCAGCTTAATAAGAAAAGAACCCATGGTTGGAGGCAGCATGTTAGCATGGATAGTCTCCAAGGGGATATATACAGGTTAAATAAGAGGGCAAAATACTTGGAATGTGGGAAATGGTGAGGTTATATATTTTGGCAGGAAGAATAGAGGAGCTGAATATAACTTACTTACCGAAAGACTATAGAAAGCTACTGACCAAAGGGATTTGACAGTCCCCTTGCGTGAATCACAAAAAACTAACATTCCAAGGTTCAGCAGGTATTAGCGAAGGCAAATGTATGTTGGCCTTTAGTTCAAAGGGAATGCATAAAAAAGTAGGGAGGTTTTGCTAAAACTTGACAAGGCAGTAGTAAGACTCTGGCTGGAATACTGTCAACAGTTTTGGGCCACTTACCTAAAGAAAAATATATTGGCATTGGAGGCAGTCCAGGAAAGGTTCACTAGACTAACCCTGAGTACAGAGGGCCTGTTTTATGAGGAGAGATTGAGTAGGTTTGGCCTGTACCCACTGGAATTTAGAAGAACAAGAGGTGAGGCTGTTTCCCCTTGTGGTCTAGGGGGCATAATCTCAGAATAAGGGGTTGCATATTTAAGGCAGAGATGAGGAAGAATTTCTTCTCTCAAAGAGTTGTGAATCTATAGAATTCTTCACCACAGAGGGCTGTCATGGCTGTGTCATTAAGTATATTCAAGGCATATATGACAGATTTTTAATTAATAAGGAAATCAAGAATTATGGAGAAAAATCAGGAAAGTGAAGTTGAAGATTATCAGATCAGATATGATCTCGTTGAATGAAAGAGCAGAAATGATACGCTGAATGCCCGGCCTCTCCTCCAGGCTAGGTAGATTAGCAATGGGAAGATGGAGGGTTACAGGGATAGGGTGGGGGGAGGGTGGGTCTGGATGAGATGTTGCTCAGAAGGTCAGTGTGGACTCAGTGGGCCAACCAGCCTGCTTCTAAACTGTAGGGATTCTATGATCTACTGGACAACGTAGGTCAGTGAGCATATTTACAACAAAATATGATATCTGGCGTGTAACTGTGAGTAAATTTTACATTAATAAAGGCATCTTTAATCCAACAGTATTTGAAATCATTATTTAAACAAGAAAAATATCATGGAATTGTTATCATTGCTCAAAACGTAGCTGGTTGCTGAAATTGGACTTAGGGGACCACAGTAAAATTTGGGTATTCAAGGGATGAGATTTAAATGGATCTAAACATCATTATCCTTGACTTCCTAAATTGGGAAAGTAAAACTAAATACTTGAACAAACATGACGCTTTTACAAGGAGGTTGGGTGAGTACACAAAGAAGAAAGGAATAAAAGGATATGCGGACGAAATGGGATGGGAGTGGGGAGATTGTATGGAACATGAATACAAGCATCGATGAGTTGGGCCAAGTGGCCTGTTACTCTACTACAATCCATAAAATTATTGTCGGAACTTAATAGGCCTATCACAGAAACAATTTCTAAATATGCACTTTGAGGAATAAATCGCAGGTTATGATTGATGTCTCATGAAAATGGGCTAGTAAATAGAGTGGTCTCATGAAAATGGGCTAGTAAATAGAGTCATGGAGTCATACAGCACGGAAACAGACCCTTCGGTCCAACTCGTCCATGCCGACCAAGTTTCACAAACTAAACTAGCCCCACTTGCCTGCATTTGGCCTATATCCCTTTAAACCTTGCCTATTCATGTACCTGTCCAAATGTCTTTTAAATATTGTAACGGTACCTGCATCTAGCACTTCCTCTGGCAGTCACCCATAAACCTCCTACACTCCAGTGAAAAAACTCCCAGTCTATCCTTAGAACTCAGACCCTTGTGTCCCAGTAACATCTGATAATTTTTTTCTGAACTCTGTCCAATTTAATAATATCCTTCCCATAGCAGGGCAACCAGAACTGTACATAGTACTCCAGAAGTGGCTTCACTGATGTCCTGTACAACTGCAAAGTGATGCCCCAAATCTGACACTCAATGGTCTGAGCAATGAAGACAAGTGTGCAAAAGGCCTTCTTAACCACCCTGACTACCTGTGATACAACTTTCAAAGAACTATGTACCTGAACATCTAGGTCTTTTTGTTCAACAACACTGTCTCATTGCAACATTTCCTTTCAGCCATTTCAACATCAAACTCAAGACAGACATCAAAAGGAGGTGCCCGTTAACAAGCATATCAGATTTGCTCACCCTTTCCACTTGCCCCTCTTTGTGTTTCAGCTTGAAGACCTTCAGCTTAGGCAGAGAGACTTCCGCATAGTTTTTTTCCTCAAAACCTTCCAGCAAGACTCCATGAAAAGCAAGCCGACAGGTATTGGCATGGATATCAGTGTCGAGCTTGGATCCTATAACCAGGCACAGCTTGGGGCATGTCACTGGTTTCTCAAACTCCAACAGGGCCCACTGCTGCCTGGGTACTTTGCTTCCATCTGCTTGGCTTTTATCAACACCAACATCCTTGGCCTGTGATAGGTATTCTTCCTGATAGAGGTATTCTCTGTCAAAGAGAAAACAATCCATCACAGGCTCACTGTCAAAATCCTCAAAGGCAGGACTGAAGAATGTCACCCTTCCCATGACCGTTTCGTGGCCAACCGTAATATGGAACTTTGCTTTGGTGTGGACCGATCCTTTGTAATAAGGTATTTTCTTCACGGAGATTATGGCAGCATACAAGGTACACAGGGACTCTGGGGCACAGACCACGCCTCGCTCAAGCTGTTTAGGGTCAAACTGAGTGACACAGATTCCTACTCGGTCACCTTGGATGGCAGTGCACACTGGCTGACGGAACATTTGCATGGTCTTGACCTTCCGACTGACCTACAAAGACAAAAACCAAGAAAAAAAATGAGCAAAAGAAGATTGAAAAAAAAGGCAGAAACTCAGTGAAGTTAAATTCCTGAAGGAAATATTATCACAAAACCCTTAGGCCACTGGGGCATATAAATTATGCATGCTTATCCTCAGTGCGCTGAAACACAAAAGCCATTTACTTGCTCGACTATGATTAATATTGTACAAACGCTGGATCCTTGGCTTCTAATAAAAAGATGACCATTTTTAGAACTTGCATGTTATTACTCCAGGCTTTGAAATCAAATGCCACATCTCGCCTGCCTGTCCTATTATAATACAGGATATGACAGGACAGGAGATCTATATTCGTAAACACATGGTAGCAAGAGCCAGACAGAGGCAGAAGTCTCTGAATTTATTGAAAAAGATTCCACTAGATGAAGAACTGATTTAAAAACCAGCAATGTAAAAAAAAACTGTAAAAAGGTTTTGCTTTATATCATCCATTCATGGAATGTGGTTATCACCCCTAGTTGCCCTTTAGAAGGTGGTGGTGAGCTGCCTTCTTGAACAGCTGCACTCCATGTGGGAAACTAAAAAAAACAAAAATTAAGAGCGTATAAGCAAGAAGGACATATCAATGTTCCATGTCCAGTTTTGCTCTTCTGATCCAGAAGGCTGGAATATAGTATCCATAATCCTCCTCTACTTCCTCAAATCTGTGTATGAGCCAAGGTATTGAGTGCTAATAGGGCCACAATTGCTCAACATTCCACTCCCACCTTGAGTTAAATAAAAGTAGTGCCGGAAATATGCAGCAGACCTGGCAATCACTGTGTAGCGAGAAAGTTTTTACAATTCCAGTTGAATACAACCTTTTTAACTGAGTAGACCGTTCGTCCCCACCATTTTGGCTCAGGGCAATGAGGTCAAAGTTGAAACACCATCTGTTACTCTGTTATTACTAGCTATCTCAACATTGACTGAGAAAGTAATTATTCAAATCTGCACAGCTCAGCAAAACAGTTGTATTCCAACTGAGTTACAAGAGAAGCTACAAAGAATACCGAATAATACTTCTATTCACAAAGGCTGTTGCGAAAATCACTTTGAACTATTAGGAACATGTCAGGAATTCAAGTGTCACCCCATCTACCACCTTCAACATTGACTCCCTTCACAACTATTGTACATTGAAAACAGTGTGTACCAGCTACAAGATGCGCAGCAATAAATAACCAAGACTCATTTGAGAGCACCTTCAAAACCTGTGACCATTACCAATTAAAAGGACAAGGTCAGGACGCATAAGAACACAACATCCTGCAAGTTCTTCACCAAGTTACACCTCCAACACACATCATTCCTTCACTGTCTCTGGGTCAAAATTGTGGAACTCATGTCCCAACAGCACCATGGATATACTTAAAGCCTTCCCTCCACCATAAAGTCAGAAGTGGGGATGTTCACCGATGATTGCACAATGTTCAACACCATTCACGACTCCTCAGATACTGAAGCAATCTCTGTTCAGGTCAGAGGCTAGGAATACTGTGATGAGTAACTCATCTTTTCATTCCCCAAAGCCTGTCCACCATCTACAAGGCACAAGTCAGGAGCGTGATGGAATACTCCCCACTTGCCTGGATGGGGGCAGCTCCAACAACACTAAGAAGCTTGACACCATCCAGGTCAATGCAGCCCACTTGACAGGCACCACATCCACAAACATCCAATCACTCCACGACCAGTGCTCAGTAGCAGCAGTGTATACTATCTACGAGGTACAATGCAGAAATTCATCAAAGATCCTTAGGCAGCACCTTCCAAACCCACAACCACTTCTATCAAAAAGAAAAGGGCAGCAGATACATGGAAATACCAATACCTGCAAGTTCCCCTCCAAGCCACTCACCATCCTGACTTGGAAACGTATCATTGTCACTGGATCAAAATTATGGAATTCCCTCCATAATAGCATTGTAGGTCAACCAATAGCACATGGACTGTAGTGGTTCAAAAAGGCAGATCACCGCCACTTTGTCAAGAGCAACTAGGGATGGGCAATAAATGCCCATATTCCACAAATGAATAAAATAAAATATATCGGATCAGAGCTACACAAGAAAGCAGCTCATCACTGTATTCTCCAGGGTAATTATGGATGGGCTATAAATGCTGGCATAGACAGTAATGCTCACGTACTCTGAATGTCAATTTAGATTGGATATGGCATACATTGGTGAAGCAATGGATGTCTTACATTCTTCTAAGTGTTGCAATGATTGTAAAACATGGATACCAAATTTTACCATCCAACATCTGATTTTTATGCCTGGGACCTAACAAGGGTTAAAATTTTTTTTAAAAAGGAGAAAACACTAACTTCAGCTGGCTATAGTAGTCACCAAATCAGTTTGAGTCAGACTGATGAAACCAATAATACCAGATAAACAAAGACAGTCTTAGCAGAAATTAACATTTTACTAAAAGGCACTGAAACTCAGTCAGGTGTAAAGATCCACTTTTCCCCCATTTTTGATTTACATATTTTCTACAGGCTTCACATATAAAGATGAAATTCACCTGCAGATGACCCACTTGAAAAGCATGGGAATTCACAAAGGAATTGTATTTCAGAGATACATCTTTTGGGTAGAATGGAAAAGAAAACAAGATGGATTTGTAAAGAACCTGAAGGCTCTCACACTCTCCCAGTTTTCTTCTCAACGTCTCAAAAACTAGCACCCGCGATAAGACAAACTGGAGAAATATTCACCAATTGAGAACTCAAGGATTCTTTAAAATTCTCTACCACATAAGACACAAGACATCAACTAAACAGCTATGGTCTTGATTCAACTATAACAATTCAAGGATTTGAAGAACTTTTCAAATTATATATTCTTTATCTTCCTACTGCACTAAACGTGCTCCCTTTTTTTTAATCTTTCTACATGTATTAGCACATGTTTGATGTCACATTTTATTTTCTTTTCATAAGTAATAAAATGCCCCTTTCTTTCAATCAAGAAAACCTTGTACCTGGCTCCTTAATTTTAACTGGAGATATGTTCTAGCCGAAGCGTGATACAGCTATATCCTAAAAAAACATTTAAAATATTTGGTGTGAGAAAACCGATTGCGTCTTAAAAATAGGGGAGCGGATTCACCACTGCTCACCTAACCCTAACAGATTCCTGACTCTTTGCAGACTAAAAGGAACTTGACACTATTCAAAAGTTTACACATTCTCCTGTTTTAATTTTACCCGGATAAAAACACTGGCACAGGTTGTGACCTGACATCATTTCTGAGGTGTTGGAATCTCACATGGAAATTATTTTTCAACAAGTATTGTACAAGAATGATTAACCTATTGTTATAGCACAGGCAGGCATGTTAGTGTGTACATGTAATGAGGTTGTCAGGTATTGCTTCCATTATTATCACTCAAATACTTGCTGCTGTCTAGAGTAGACCACTGCATTACTTACAAATTATGACGAAGTGAAAATCCCAAGTAACTGACTTACATTTTATGGAAATCTGTACAATAAAGTTCTGAGGTCTGTGAAAATTATGAATGGGAACACCAAAAAAACTGAAATGGCTTCCCTACTTCCTTGAACAAAGAGTAAGCAGGGTACAATAATACTTTATGACATTAAACAGGAAATACAGATGTTAGAAACACATCAGTTTCTGCAGGTTATTAGAATTACGAGAAAATATAGGGAGAACAAAAGAGGAACAGAGAATGATGTGAGGAAAATAGACAAGAAAAAAAGGACAGAGGAATTGCATAAATGACAGATCAAGGAGGAAGTGATAAAAAGGAAAGCAGGGAGGCAGACAAGAGGAGGACAGGAGGAGGTGAGACAGGCGGAAAGCGAACAGCATAAATAAACAACAAAGACAGAAACAAAGAGGGAGGAAAGAAAGGTCAAAACAAGCAATGGAAGAAACAGCTGACCAAAAGAAAGGCAGGGAGACAAGAAGGAAAGGAAATGAGGAAGAAAGAAGAGGGAAGAATGAATGAAACAAAAAATAATAAATGCAGAAAGCAACAGCAAGAAATGGAAGGAAGATTTAGACAAGAAGTTATATTGAGCTTCATCATATAATAATTATCACAACTATTTGTATATACGTTTGTGAGTATAATGACTCAGCCTTTCACTGAGGAATTAGTTTTGGAATATATGCAGGAAAACAAATGTTCAAGATCCTTTTTAACACCTACTGTATATTAAAATATGGAATCTTCAAATGATTATTTTAATATCAAAATGCAATCACTCTAACATTGTTAATGAAACCCTGCAATAATGCAGAATCCAGAGTGCCTTAGAACTAGAAGGACCTTCTGAGCACTAGAATACAATATTTACTTCAGAGGACTTACAGTAATCTGTCAGGGGTCCAATTTTATACAGTGAAATACTAATTGTATGAAGCATTTCAAGGATTCACAAATTAAAAATCAAACAGAGGGCTAGTTACCCAGGTGAGGGCTTAAAGGATCTATCTCCTTTTAACTGACGTTCTAAGTACAGGAAAGGTCAGGTCACAACCTGCCAGTGTTTTGGAGTCACAGCATGGAGTCATTCAGAAACAACAAAAATCAATTTGCAGATTAAATGTAGATGGGTAAATGCGTTCAATCTTTTCCATATGTAGTAATGATAATCAATGGAGCTAAGCACTTGTGTGGTCATATTTCTTTTCAATTTAAGGGAAGTTTAAACATGGGATAATCAGTCATTTCAAAATTACACCCTGGTACACTCCACATTTAACTGTGAGGAGATAATTACTTGTTCAATGTATGAAGCACACATTTGCAAGGAGATCACAATGGTGTTCAAACTTAACTGACATGTGAAGCACAAATTCATTAACAACAATTCGCATTTACATTGCTTCCTTAAACAGCATGTGCCAAGCTGTTTCACAGCAGTAACTATGAAAAGAAACTGGATACTAAGTCATATAAAAGAGATTAAGATAGATGAATGAAA